AGTTTAAGGGATCTTCGATATATAGAATCATATCATCTGCGAATAATGATAATTTCACCTCTTCCTTCCCCAGCTGAATACCTTTAATATATTTCCTTTGTCTTATGTTGTTAGCTAGTGTTAGGGACCTGGAGCGATTCCCCTTTCAATGGAACGAGATCAAACGCAAGGCTGCCATTCAGTGAGGCCTTTATTATGCAAGCTTAAGCCTGGGCTCAAGTCCTCAGGTGCTTAACCGCATGCACCTTCTTGGACAAGAGCCAAGACAAAAGAATTTTTGAGTATATATCTGTGGGGTACATAATGGGCGTTCCCAACCCCCCCTTCCCCCCCCACCCCCGTCAGTCCACCGATTGGCTCGTTGAGGTAGGTTGGCTGTTTGGTCCTTTGTGTGTAGTTCCCGCGCTGGCTGGTTGATCCTCCCCTCAGCTTCTGGGCTTTCCTTGCCGCTCCCGGGTTGGCCAGCCTCTATCCCTGGGTACGTCCTACTTTGCACTGCTAGGAAACATGAAACCACAGCCTGTCCGAGATAGCGGTACCAGTCACGGGGGCAATCTGGCTTTACAATCCCCCCTCTTTTTTGTTCCTATGAGCAATCTTGCTCATAACCATTACCTTGCATTTCTATGGAATTCTGGAACGGATTTTGGTTGAGTTCGCTGTACTGTTGTCGAAGAATCATTAACTGGACAGTACTTATGCGTTCTCGTACAAAGGTCACCAGTTTGCTTATTATGCAAGGACCGAATGAGAGAATGATTAAGAGAATGAGGAGGGGGCCCAACAAGGTGGATATTAAGGTAGTCATCCAGGGGGAACGGTTGAACCAAGACTCATACCAGGGTTGCTTTTCTTCGCGGTCTCGCTTCCACTTCGCTAATCCCTCTCTAACCTTTGCCATAGATTCTTTCACCAACCCTGAATGGTCAGCATAAAAACAGAATTCTTCACCTAGGGCAGCACATAACCCTCCTTGTTGCAGGAAAATTAGGTCTAGCCCTCTTTGGTTTTGTAACACCACCTCTGATAGAGAGGTTAATGACTGTTCTAGGTGAGAAATGGAGTCTTCTATTCTAGCGATATCTTCATCTATGGCCATTCGGAGGCCACTTAACCCTTGGTGTTGGGTAGCTAAGGAGGAGATACCTGTACCAGCCCCTATGAGGCCTAGCCCGAAGAGTGTGGCAAGGGTGATAGCAGTTACAGGTTCCCTTTTAACTCTTTTCATCGCCATAGAATTCCAGTTTTGGACCTGAGTCACATACATTTCATTCTTAGAGTGGTAGATGACCCTTGGAAAAACCAATACCATAACACAGAATTCTTTAGAACTATTAAAGACAGACAGACTAAGGCAGGATGTCAAACCAACTTGGGAACAAACCCACCAGCTGCTAGGGGCTGGTGATAACCATTTAAAAAGGGGGGTATATTCTGGAGGAACCTTTCCCACACAGGTTCCATTTCCGCTCACTGTCTGAATTCTGAGTCCCGCTCCCACTCGTTCCCAGGCACATGTAGCTGGAGACTCTTGGGCTAAGTATTCAAAAGCTCCTTTGATTCCTACTGCTTCATAAAACGGGGGTCGGATGTCATAACACAACCAGAAACCTGCTGTAATAACTGGGTCGGAGCGGTTTAGAGCTTCATATGCTGCTGTTAACATTTTCCACAGAGAGTCTTCTGACCCATGTACCCTAGGGGCTAAGCGGGTCCTTAGTGTGGTTTTTAAGGCCCCTATAGATGGTTGCGGGATAGCAGTTGGGAGTGGAGGTTGTAAGTGACGTTGCCCCCCCACACACACCCAACACTGGGTTCGGTCCTACAACCTCGGAGATAGGGGAAATTCTTAGCTTAAGTTGTATTACAGTACCAAAGGGTGGACGCTGATAGAGGTGTATTCCCCACGATAGTCCGGAGACCCATCGTCTGTCCTTCTTACCTTCCTCAGTGAATTTCACACATATAAGATTACAATTTTTGTTATACCGGGATAGTGTACATGGCTGAACATAAGACATTTCAATGAGGAGGGGGCGCACCTTCCATTTCCATTCCCCGTCATTGGAGGTTACACACTTCCAGGCTGCACAATAGAGGGACTCAATTCCCCCACACTGGCGCCTCGTTTCCCCGATTCTAAACCCCGGACATACATAGAACCCATTTCGGCTCATGGACACTCGTTGCCTTTCGTGCCAAGACCGTCCCCCGCCTCCTGCACGCCCATATCCCCCCTCATAAGAAGTAACAACACGCAGGTCTCCTGGGAGCCGTTCCAGATTGAAATAAAGGTCTGGCCACCAGGTGTTGGGAGGCGCCATGCTGGATGTTTGATTATACAATTCTCCAGTCTCTAAGTTGTCGATTCTCCAAGTGAGGTTGTAAGGTATATGTGGGTTACTATTAGGGCTGCCCCTTACCTGCACCCAGAACCAACAAACAGCCATCACCAGTAGCCAGCTGCCGGCCATCTCTCTACTGGTCGGTTCTAGGCCTTATGTGGGTGAGCTTTACTTTTAGGGGGTTTTCTGGATGAGCCTCCGCTTTCCACTGATTCTGGTGAAGCTCTCTCTCGCTCCTGCTGGCGGGCGGTATTTGAGAGTGGTGAATCCAGGTTGCTACTCCGTCGACCTTAAGGGCAGTGGGGGTAACAAGGATTACTTGAAAGGGGCCCTTCCACCTAGGTTCTAAGGACTTACTATTATGTCGCTTGACCCAGACCCAGTCTCCGGGCTCGTGCTGGTGAGAGGGGACCCCCTGGTGGCCTTCCCGTTCATTTTTATAGAAGGCCTGAAGAGCGGGCCATATCTGGTTCTGCACCCAACGCAGGGCTTGAACAGCCTGTAACACTTCCCCTGAGCCTCCCTCCGGCAGCGGATGTGTGCTTGGTATTACTGGCGGAGGGGACCCATACATAATTTCGAAGGGGGTCAAACCCAGGTGATAAGGCGTGTTCCGGGCTCAGAACAGGGCGAAGGGAAGGAGGGTCACCCAGTCCCCGCCAGTCTCTAGGCACAATTTGGTTAAGGTTTCCTTCAACGTTCTGTTCATTCTTTCTACCTGCCCAGAGCTCTGGGGGTTGTAAGCACAATGCAATTTCCAATCAGTCCCCAGTGCTCTGGCAATGCTCTGGCTAATGTTGCTTAAGAAAGCTGGACCATTGTCGGATCCTATGCTTTCCGGTAATCCATACCTAGGGACAACTTCTTCTAGGAGTTTCTTTGCCACTACCACTGCAGTTTCCCTTTTTGTTGGAAACGCCTCCACCCACCCTGAGAAGGTATCTACCATTACTAGCAAGTATTTATACCCATACTTTCCTGGCTTTACTTCAGTAAAATCTATTTCCCAAAACAATCCTGGTTTCCTTCCCCGATCCCGGGTACCTGTGTGAGTTCCCTGGATTTTTCCTGGTTTCATAACCTGGCAGGCGTGACATGCTTCTGCAACTCTTTCTGCTGCTTTGCTTTGTAGCCAGAACTTAAGAAGAGCTTTGTCCAGCAGCTGTAACATTTTCACCTTCTCCAGGTGCATGGTCTGGAGTAGTTGTTTTAACAAGTGATTTCCCAGAGCTTCAGGCACTATCAAGTAATTTTTGTTGTCCCTCAGCCAGCCGCTTTCGTCTTTGCTTGCCCGTAGCTCCCCTTCCGCCCAAATCCAATCAGTATCGGAGTATTCTGGCCGCGGAGGCAATTTTCCCATTCCGTGGGGGCTGCAGGCCCAAATGTAAGACCTCCGGACGCTCAGCTCCCTCCGCCGCCTGCTCAGGTCCTTCGGCCGCCCGCCGCGCTTCTAGATCTGCTGCCCGGTTTCCTCAGGCCTCCAGGGAGTTTCCCCCTCTGGTGGCAGGAATGTGTACTACCGCTACCGCCTTTGGTAACATGATGGCGTCCAGCAATTGCAAAATTTCTGGCTTATTTTTTATCTCTTTTCCCTCCGCTGTGACAAATCCTCTCTCCCGGTACAGCACTCCCGTAATATTCAATGTTCCGTACGAGTACCGGCTGTCCGTAAACAACGTGAGCCTTTTCCCCTCTGCACGCCGGAGAGCCTCTGTCACTGCTACTATTTCCGCTTTTGGGGCTGAGGTACTGGGAGGGAGCTGAGACGCCCAGATTACGGAGCCCTGTGCATCTACGATTGCAGCTCCCGCATGGCGTTGCCCCTCCTTTACGAAACTACTTCCATCTGTAAACCAGACCAGGTCACTATTTGAGAGAGGCCGGTCCTTGAGGTCTTTTCGTACCATTTGGAAGTCGGCCAGGATCTCCTGGCAGTCATGCTCTGGCTGCCGGGGCACTGGGTCTGGCAGGAGCGTTGCTGGGTTTATAGCCGTAGGTGGCTTAAAAATTATTCGGGGGGCATTTAGCAACAGTCCTTGATAATGGGCTAGTCTCGTGTTTGTGATCCATCGTCCTGGGGTCTGTCTTAGGAGCCCCTCAACCGCATGGGGAGTAGTGACTTCTCCTAGGGGCTGCCCCAGCGACAGCTTATCCGCATCTTTCACTAGTAATGCTGTAGCCGCTATAATACGGAGACATGCCGGCCATCCCGCGGCTACAGGATCGAGTTTCTTTGATAAGTATTCTACCGGTCTTTTCCACGGTCCCAGTCTTTGGGTGAGCACCCCTTTCGCCACCCCTTGCTTTTCATCTACAAAAAGCTGAAATTCTTTTTCCGGGTCGCGGAGGGCTAAGGCAGGAGCCTTCAGCATCGCGGCTTTTAGCGCCTGGAATGCTTTTTGCATGGCTTCAGTCCATATGAAATCCTGACCACCTTTACATCCTTCATATAGAAGTCTGGCCTCTTCTGCAAAGCCGGGGATCCACAAGCGGCAATATCCTACCGACCCCAAGAATTCTCGGATTTGCCGGCTTGAAGTAGGAGGGAGTATATTTAACACAGTTTCTTTCATGGCCTCGGTTAGCCACCTTTGCCCCCCCCTCAGTTTATATCCTAGATATGTGACTTCTTCCCTGCAGAGTTGGGCCTTTTTCGCACTTACAAGATACCCCAGCTTTCCCAGGGTTCTTAGCAAGTCCTTTGTCCCTTCTGTGCAAGTCAGTGGGGAAGGGGCTGCATCCAACAAATCATCTACATATTGCAACAAGGTGATATGGGGGTGGCTGGACCGGTACTCACTCAGATCTTCGTGGAGGGCCTCGTTGAAGATTATAGGTGAATTTTTAAAACCCTGAGCCAAGCACGTCCAGGTCACCTGGCCCTGGATTCCCAGCTCATCGTCCTGCCACTCGAAAGCGAAAAGCTCCTGGCTGTGCGGAGCCACCGGTATGCTGAAAAAAGCATCCTTCAGGTCCAACACGGTGTACCAGTTTTGAGAGGGAGGCAAGGAGCTTAATAAGGTGTAGGGGTTAGGTACTGTAGAGTGGATGTCTAACACACGGCTGTTAACTTCCCGTAAGTCTTGGACCGGCCTGTAGTCCCCAGTGCCCGCTTTTCTGAGCGGCAATAAGGGGGTATTCCAGGCCGACTGGCACTTTCGCAAAATTCTTTCTTTAAAAAGTCGGCGAATGTGGGGCCGGATTCCTTCTCGTGCCTGAAGAGGCATGGAGTACTGACGGACACGGATTGGCTCGGCCCCTGGTTTTAGTTCAATGAATACAGGTGGCCTGTGTTTGACCCATCCAGTTCCGCCCGTCTCTGCCCAGGCCTCTGGGAATTCTTCAAGCCACCACTGCAGCTCCTTGTTCTCACTATATTTTACATGCTCAAACAGTCTGTACTCATCGGCCCGCTGCAGGGTAAGTACTTGAACGGAGTGGGGGTGGGGGGAGTTTAGTGGAAATTTCTTTGGGTCTCTCCCAATGGGTCACCCATGGCCATCTGTGACAATTACTTGTTTTTCCTCAAAATGGATTTGAGCTTTTAACTTGGTTAAGATGTCTCTTCCTAGCAAAGGGGTTGGGCATTCAGGAATCACCATGAACGCATGGCTTACCTGGCCTGTCCCCAGGTCCAACTTAGGCTGGGTCGTCCATCGATAGGGTTTTGTTCCAGTTGCACCTTGCACCCAGCTGGTTTTAGCGGCTAATTTGCCAGTAGGATGTGTAATAACAGAGCGCTCTGCTCCAGTATCCACAAGGAAGTCTACTGGTTTCCCCTCTCAAAGTAAGGTTACCCTGGGTTCGGGGAGGGGAACCGAACCCTGACCTCTCTATTCACTGTCCTCCTGCCCAACTAACAATACCTGCTTAGCCTCCCTATCTCCCCCCCTTGGGACCCTGTCATACTTTCTTTCAAAAGAGGCCTTTCTCTTTTCCTCACATTCCCTGGCCCAATGTCCCTTCTTGCAATATGCACACTGATCGCTATCTAGTCTCTCCCTGCGGGGGCGTCCTTGTTCCCTTCTCCTGACCTCCCTTCTCTGCCTTTCACTCTCCGTGGCTGCTAGCAGAATACGGGCCATTTCTCGACTAGCCTTCTTGGTTTCCTCGGCTTGGAACTTTCTGTCTTCCCTTCTAACTCTTTCGCGCTGTTCTTCCGGAGTTTCCCTGTTGTTGAAAACCTTTTCAGCTACTTCAATTAATCTTGCAATGTTTTCTCACTCAACCTGTCTATTTTCTGCACCTTCTTTCTAATGTCTGGGGCTGCCTGATTCACAAAAGCCATCATTACTGCAGCTTTACTCTCCTCAGAGGTAGGATCCATGGGAGTATATATCCTAAAAGCTTCCATAATTCTCTCTAAATAGGCAGCCGGACTCTCCTCCGGCCCTTGTCTGACATCACCTACCTTTGCCAGGTTAGTCGGCTTGTGTGCCGCTGCTCGGAGACCAGCCATGAGAGTCTGGAGGTAGACCCAGAGACGCTCCCTACCTTCAGCCTCGTTGTAATCCCAATCCGGCCGCTCCAGTGGAAATGCTCTGTCTATTGCTCCAGAGTTGGTAGTGGGGCGGCCATCCTCTCCTGGCACTGATTTGCGGGCTTCTCCTTGAATTCTATCCCGCTCCTCCATTGTAAAAAGGACTTTTAGCAGCTGCTGACAATCATCCCAAGTCGGCTGATGAGTGAACAAGACGGAACCTAACAAATTTATTAAGTCCCTAGGATTGTCAGAGAAATTAGAATTCTGGTCCTTCCAATTATAGAGGTCGCTGGTGGAAAACGGCCAGTACTGATAGGTTGGCTCCCCATCCTCCCGGGGAGGGCCCACGGCTCGGATGAGTAGGGTCACTACAGGTCCTGGATCGGGGGACCTAGCAGTGCATTGCTGCGTTCCGAAGGCTGGCCCTTCTTCAGGACGCTTTGACGCCGATGCAGCTGCAGACAAAGCCTTGGGGTTATAAGGTGGGGGAAGGGGAGTTGTCTGGTCCCAACCTGAATCAAGGAAATCAAGAGGGTGGTTAGAGTCGGAAATAACTGGCTCGGGGTCCTTAGAGGGGGCCTGATGGACCGGCTCTGGGTCTGGCCCCGCTTTTTTCTTCTGGACAAGAAAGACCTGCGTATTAGTGGAAGGAAGAAATTTCTGTAGCCAAAGGGTGGGGGCGGGGTTCTGAACCAGTTCTTGCCACACAATTATATAGGGAATTTGATCCGGTTGGCCCCGAGGGCCCTTATCGAAGACAATACTCTTTACCTTCTGGATAATGGTTAGGTCAAGAGTGCCTTCCCGGGGCCATCCAACCCCGAGGGCTGGCCACTCTGCTTCACAGAAAGTTACAAATTTTCTTTTTTTAACATTAACAGAGAGGTTAGAGGCCCTATCTTTCACCTCCCTGAAGTTTCCTGTAATGAGAGAAAGGGGAGTAATATGGGCTTGCCCCATTTCACCAGTAATGAACACAAATGACAAGGACGACTCACACACACACACACAAAAACAGTTACAATTAAGATGTGACACAGACAAACACAACAAACCACAAGGCGCCTGATCTGACCTGCTCTCCAGCCCTACGGCCGACCTGGCCTCCTTTCCAAACACACCTAGTGTTTTCCTTCCGAGACCTACCAAGGAAACAACAGGACGTCTCCTGTCTATTCCCGACCGGCGACCTCCACGGTGCGTCCACCTAAGTCCTCTGCCGGTCACTCTCTCAGGGCCCGATTCCTGCACCGTACGGATTTCCGAAGGCCTCTCTCCTTGGTCTAAGATCTCAGCCCCACTTCAGGGTATCGCTCCAATCCCAGATGAGCCCCCAAATGTTAGGGACCTGGAGCGATTCCCCTTTCAATGGAACGAGATCAAACGCAAGGCTGCCATTCAGTGAGGCCTTTATTATGCAAGCTTAAGCCTCGGCTCAAGTCCTCAGGTGCTTAACCGCATGCACCTTCTTGGACAAGAGCCAAGACAAAAGAATTTTTGAGTATATAT